AAAAATATATATATTCATTAAATCAATGCGTGCTTATTTGTTTTAGGTGAAGTATTTATATTAAAATAATAATTCATTTAAAGAAAACTCCGGAAAGGTCACTATCCAAATTCGACAGCCCTTACCTCCATGCTTCAACATAAGGCTACCTGCCGTGTGTGTATAGGTATTTCTCCTAGAAATTTCCAGGGTATCGTCCTGACTGTTGAACCTACCCTGACCGTCCATTGAACTTATCTTTATTGCCATTAGAAACGCATTAGTAAACAGGACACCGAAAAGTCAGTATGTTTAGGTTCAAAGAAGCAGACTTTCTATTTTGGCACGTAAGTGGATGGGGCGGCGGATCCAACAAAAAAAAGGTTTTGGGAAATTATATTATGTACAAACATTTCAAGTGATAATTAACTTAACATAATATATTGTAAAACGAAAAATATAATACTATATGTAATAAATAAAATGGTATATATGGTAAATATATTCTAATAAATAATTTAATAAATATATATATTTTTTAATAAATAAGAGTATTCATTAATAAGGTTGTGTGAAAATATTTGTGTGCACTTCTCTAAATTTAACCGTATTCAATTTAATAAACGTGAATACTGCCGTATTCACTTTTACAAGTGTAATTATAAAGGCTCGGGAATTTATATTACGTAAAAACGCTAGTGATAATTAACATAATATGATTGTAACATAACATATTATAAAAGGAAAAATATATTACTATGTATACAAATAAAATGATATATATATAGTGATATTTTTTTTTTAATAAGTATATATGTTTTCAATAAATAAGAGTATTCAGTAGTAATGTTGTGTGAAAATATTTCCATTCACTTCTGTAAATTTAAGCGTATTCATTTTATGAATTCTTGAAGGAAGTTAGTCGACTGTTTTACATATCATGGGTGATAAATATTCAGGACGCAGTCTTTTTTAAATTTTTGCCAACGTTTCAACCCAAGCATGTGGGTCATCCACCACATCAGAGAAATGACCTCTTCGAACGCTGACATCATCGCACAACAGGTCATCCTAGCCCATCTCAAGCTCTACACCGCTCTCGCACTCTGCTGATTCGCCATCTTCTACAATTCATTCTATTCTCTCTCCAGATACTTCAAACACCAAAACAGAGCCCTGAAGATGACCCACATTTTTGGGTTGAAACGTTGGCAAAAATTAAAAAAATTAAAAAAGATTGCGTCCTGAATATTTATCTCCCATCATATTCATTTTAGTAAACGTGAATACTCTCGTATTCACTTTTACAGCCGTGAATAGGTATCATCTGTATTCATATTTCTTTTTATAAATATAAATATATTCATTTTTATATTCGTTAGTACCATAAATATAAATGGTATTCGTATTTATATTTTTGAATATAAATATGCCCATCTCGCAGCCAGCGGCACTTCGATTACCTCAGTTACCTTTTTTGCTGAAATTAGATAACAGAATCCTGGTCATTGGGTAAAAAAGAATGACCTCTCACTCGAAACAGGTTAGTGGTGCTTTCAAATAGTCCGAGACAGTGAACCAGCATGTAAATAAGATATAACATTGAATAATTCTTGTTCTGGCCAGGACACCCGTCTGATATGAGAACAAGTTCGTATTTCACGGTTTTTTTTTTCTTTTAAGTAGTGAAGTAGAAGATAACAATCAGACTGTCAAAATTACGGCAAAAATAACCCTTGTCAATGACTTAGGATATATTTGTCGGAAACTTCTTTGACGTGGGCCGTTTTTGCAGAATCGCCTCATTTTCATTCCTTATTATCATTGGACTAATAATTTAAGCTGTACCTACTTCAGCAAGGTCTATAGGTTTAAAGGTAGCAACTGATAGCGCTTGTGAGTGTTTTTATGAAATTAGTGTTTTTTTTATGACACCCTCAATTCGTTTCTTCACGTAAAATGCTTTGGAAATTAAACTCTAGAACACAAGTTTAATTTTTTGATTTGGAAAAATAAAATGTGTTCAACTATTGCATCAATAAAGGGCTTCCTTCCTTCTTTTTTTTTTTTTTTTTTTTTTTGTCCTCCCCTTCCTCTCCTTTAAGGCTATACGGGGGTTTTCCCAGGCCAGGGAGTGTGGGCGGGGATTTAAAAACTCTTCGGGCACCGGGACGCGAACTCGTGACTATTTTTTTATCAAAGTATTTTGTATCAGATTGCCAGGCATCGGCGGTGCAGTGAAATGAAATGAAATGAAATGAAAAAATAATTTTATTCTTTTTATTTATAAATAATAATATAATTTTATTCAGTGTGCACACGCGTTAGCCCATTCGGCCACCCCGCCCACCAGAGAGCTTCCTCATTTATAATTTTGCTTTGAATTATTGCTTGGCATCATCGACCCTCATCCTTTTTACATTAATTGCCTTAAATTTAGAAAATTGTTCACCCATCCTGTTTTTAGCTGAATAAACTCTTGAAGAGTGGAAATACAATTAAAGGTATATAAACTTTTAAATTAGAGTACTAAATAGTTATTGAAATCATATACCAGTATTGATGGTTATTTTCCAATATTATTCTTCGATCGATATTTTTCTTTCTATAATAAAACTCGAACATATGATATATCAGAACACTTCCTTACTTTTTACTTTACTTAGTTTTTAACACTTCAAATAACTAAAATTTTCATAGAAACATTTTTTCAGAAATTAACAAGTCGAGACATATCTGTTGGGTTAATAATTATCTTTATTCGTTTATTTATTTAAAATTTAATAAATTGATAAAGTCATTTGATAATGAAATAAACAGGACGAGCCATTTTTGAAATAAATGCTTTTAAAGTTAATGCTTTTATTTCCTAATTAGTTTCTTTCAGAATGTTGAAATAATATCAACCGACCTGTCACTGATTATAATATTTCATAAGTTTGAATTTTATTTTAAATTTCTTTGATTTCCCATAGCTGAAGACAAGACATTAGTAATATTTATTTTATAGACAGAATAAAGGTACCGCATGCCTATATTTCTAACAAGCGGCGCCCTTTGAGTCAATGCTGTAACAGGAAATATGGAAGAGAATGCCCTGCCGTTGTTGAATACTTAAAATAAAGTCATATACCTGCCGCTCTTCCAAGTATGCGGCGCTCTTAGATATTTTTTTTATACGTAAATTACGGAGTACCATTTTTTTTAAAATTATTTCTTGGTATAAAAGTTATAAACTACTTTTTCTAAAAATCGATAACTTAATGTGCGCCCCTCTCCACCAAAAAGAATCCTGATGGCACAACTTGCGCCATAAAACCCCCCTCTGGGTACCTCTGATAAAAAATACAAACATATACGCAAATATTGTTTATTTATCAATCAGCTGGCAAAGCAATCTCAGCTGAGATTACGATCAGTGAAACCGATCACACAAGGCTAGCAAAAGATCCTTGCCGATTAAAACAGCTGACGTGCGGAGGAAATTAAAGGTTTTTTCACCGCTTCGGGAGGCAATAAGTTCCCTTACCCGAACCCTGGACAAAGCTTAGCTTAGCATTCCCTTCACGATATTCCTCCACCTCGCTGCGGCTTCGCCTCCATTCCTGGAAGCTTATTGTGCTTCTCTTATCAATGTTGGAGTTTAGAAACTAGAATATAGTTGGCCAATTGTTGTATTGTGGCGGTGCGGTTAGGAACTACTATCGTTTCTCAGACAAAATTAATTAATTCCATATTTTCCCATAAGTACTTTTGGACATATCCGAATTAAAGAAAGGTCAAAATTTGAAAATGCCTATTCAATTGTGTACTTCTAAAATTATATTATATTATATAATTAGAAAAGTTATGAATTATAAATCTCTTAAAATTGTAGATCAAATATATCCTTGCTGGAATATAGCATTAAATTAACAACCACCTACATAATGTTATGGATGTTACTAATAATAATCATGTTACCTAATATCTTTAAGATAAAAGGGAAGACTCATCTAGTTAAAATATAATCTTGAGCTCAAACCAATCAAGTCAAAGCCTATCCCTCATTAAAAGTAATTGATTATCCATTGATTGATTGACCATCTATAGAACAGCGTATAGCAGAGCTTTCATCTCTCTTTCGATGGCATTGAAATCCCGAAAAATCACAGGAAATGACAAATTATGGATTTTAATGGTATGATAAATGGAGTTTCGATGTAAGACTGCGAGACCTTGACCATGAAAAGTACCCTACAAAGAAGTATTGAAAGATTTGAGAGAAAAATCTGGAATAGGAATACTAACGTATGTAGGAGAAAGAACAATAAAGAGCTGCTTAAAGGAACTATTCAATCAATATCACTTGAGATGAAGGCAAGGAGGTTATGATGGGTGGAGCAAGAATCTCGGAACAACCCATCTTGAAGACTCTACACAACAATGAGTACCCCAATATAATGTAAAAGACCACATGGAAGGCCAAAATACAGATGGATAGATAGAATCACCAGAGATGATACAGAGCTTTATGCAGATAAATGTTGCATACTTTATAAAAGCTTTCGGTTCTTCTGAGGTCAATTCAACGTTTGGAAAGGGAGCGAAAATTATCCGTGGGGCCGTTGGTTTCTTTCCAGGCCCTGTCTCAGGATTTTTTTTTATATAAAGAAATATAATAATTAATAGCATAATAAATAGAAATAATTAATAGCAGCCTTTATAAATCTCTTCATAGCTGTGATTGGCATTCCAGAAGCAGTTATCTGCATTTAATTCCCTATAAGGCTCCTTCTAATTGCGTAAGGTAAAACCATCTGCATTATTCAAGAGAATACTAATAAGTCTTTCCTTGTCCTTGGCTATTTTCATTTCGCAATTGTTTCATATTCTCTTTGTGGCTTCATCCAATTAGACCTCATGGGACAAAAACAGACACCCCCTAACTCAGTATATTAAGAGAACAGAAGTGAGGAACATGGGAACATTAGCGAAGGCGGCTGTAGCAATAAGCTAACGGGTGGTCTGTTCTGTAACAAATGTTCCTGAGGCGGCATCTCATCGCGGGAGAAGGGATGGGGTTGGAGGACCTGGTAATGATCCTACCCTCTTCGCTCCTAATGCAGCCAGGGTTAGATTAGTTGTACATTTGTCTTCCACCTATATCTTCAGTTAGTAAATGGATTGTATAACTAGAGTACGCTGGCGATTTAGTAATTACTAGTGTTCGCCCAGTGGTCGAAATTCGACCATAGCCATTAAAAATTTGAGGAAACATATAATTAAATAAAAAATAAATTAAATAAATAAAGAGTAAATCACGATTCAAAAATTCTCATTTATTAATACAAAAAAAAAATTCAATTTCAATTAAAAATCGAGCTTAAGCTACTTAAAATTATTTAAAGTAATACCAAATAGACTCATTTAAAAATATTTAATTTATGTGTATTATTATCACAATAAATTAATGTTATAACTAAGCAAGTTGAAAATAAATTTAAATTAGCAATTTCATTTAATTTTATATCTCATACATATAGGGACATACCCTCTATCTCAAAAACAGCACGGTTGGGGAAACAGGTGTCCCATGTCCTGCAATGGACATTTCAGAAGCAGTATATTTAATTTTTTGGAATGTATATATGTATGTATGTATGTTATTAATTTGTCCAAAAATACATATTTGTTAAATAAATAATATGTATGTAATATGTAGAATATCTCATCTCTATGCAGTTAAGGCAAATACATAATTAGTAATTTATCAAGTTATTTGTTAAAAAACATAACAAAACTAAAAATCTGGTGCGCGCAACTTTCACTTATTGCTCTACATTGAATATAAATAAATTTCTACCAATGGTGAGCTATTATAAAAATTTAGAAGTGCACTTCCAACAAATAAGGATGAATGGTTAAGTATTTATCCAATGTTTTTATAAAATCAAATATTTTAAAATGTAACACAATATAACACTAATAGATAACATAATACAGGTAATCCATCGTTCAACAAACAAGAACTCCAAAGTTCAAAGTTCAGTGGGTTTCAGGCTATCTAGGAGACAGCGAGTTGACATGTTAGCAAAACAGAGATCAAGAAGAGGAAAAAATACAAAACTACTTTTACAGGAAGTTGTTAGGTGGATAAAAAAAGAAGACTATATTGGGGAATAGTAAGAAAGAAAGTCCATGGCTCTCGAACACAAGTATAATGCTAAATAGAAAAGAAATATCTATATTTACAAAATAGAGAATTAACTATGATCGTTAATTAATTAAAGTAAATATAAGTGATGAATGATCTAAATGCAACTCCATCAAAAATCATATTTCACAGAAATACTTCATTCAAAAAATGTATTCAGATTTTTAGAAGAATATAGAATAGACAATATGGGTCCCGAACCCAAACCCCCACGTCAAAAAAAAAAAAAAAAATAAAAAAAAATAATAATACCGATTTACTATTATAATTATGTAGTTTATTTACAAATTATTTTTGAAATCATAAATGTTACTTCTCACAGTTCTACTATCACTTTTCTTTACGATATATGATGTTAATAGTTCTAATAGATACACTCGTATCAGGTGATCCCTCTTTCCGGCAGTATTTAAAATATTAAAAATCGCTACACACACACACACATGTATATATATATATATATATATATATATATATATAATATAATAGAAGAAATAATTAAGTTCAAGAAATTAATATTAAAAAAACTTAGGAAATCATTAAATATATTTTAAACATCACTTCAAAGAAAAAATCTATGAATCCTTTGCAATAATTAGGCAAGATAACCAGAAATAAAACACATTCAGTGAAACAATACCCTAGAAGGGAAAACCTCGAATATTTCTCATCTAAAAATAAAATTCTTTTTAACAAGCTTTATGTTTATTTATTTACATTGCGTTAGTAGAATATTAACTCTAGCAAATGAGCCATATTTTGAATTGTTAAATGGATTATTTTTTTTTTTTACAATTCAATATAAAAATTTTGATTTTAATCGTAAGTACAGACTTGCGGAGCACCCAGGCAGTTATGACCCATTTCTTCAGAAAAAATAAACCATATAAGATTATTTTGGCTTGTAAGGTGTTTAAGAAAAATGATTTTAAACAAAAATTATTTGGTTCGTCATAGGTAATTGTATTTGTTTTAAATATCAATTAGCCATAAAATGTGAGATTGATCAGAATTTTTCGTAAAAACTATACAAGGGAAAGAACAAGTCTATTTTCACTTGGACATTTTTTAAAGTAATGGCGGATTGTTGCAGGTATATTAAAAAAAATAATATAATAACATCATACAATTGTATCGATGTAAACCATTCAATCAAAATAAACCATTATTATAACATGAAGAAAATAATTTACACAATAAATAAATGTGAAAAGGGCAAAAGAATAAACCATTGCAAATATAAATTAGAAATGTAGTGCTAAATGTAATTCCAGACATTTTTTTTTTTTTTTTTTTTTCTACCCCCCAGGAATTTCTTGAATAAATTCAGTATGTATATAAATGTATATATAAATAAATTTTCAACTTTCCTTTTATTGCCCAAGGGCATTTTAAGTTAAGAGGGCTCTGCACGCTGTATGCGTTCTTTGCATCTGTGGCCAGAGGCCTTTTATTATACCACTGGGCGTGGAGGGACCGCCCTAATAATCCCAGACATTTTAATACTTTTTACTATTAAATTAAGACATTGAAACATATTGGGAATCAAGAGCGTACGCAGGGGAGGGGGAATACGGAATTTTTTTTTTCGGAAAAGATGATTATTATTATTACAATTTGTAAACATTTTCATACGAAATACAATATACAAATAGAACAATTAATTTACACAACAATTAATTAAAAATAAATTTTCTGCAAAAATTTTGTATTATATTATGCTTTAGTTTGCTTTCAAATTATTTAGAGGAAGTAGGGGCAACAATTTTTTTAAAATAGGAGAGCAATTAGTTTGATGATGGATAAATTAGTCTTTATTTCCTAATTAGTTTCTTTCAGAATGTTGAAATACTATCAACCGACCTGTCACTGATTATAATATTTCATAAGTTTCAATTTCGTTTTAAAATTGTTTGGTGTCCCATAGCTGAAGACAAGACATTAGTAATATTTATTTTATAGACAGAATAAAGGTACCACATGCCGATATTTCAAACAAGCGGCGCCCTTTGAGTCAATGCTGAAACTGGAAATATGGAAGAGAATGCCCTGCCATTGTTGAATACTTAAAATAAAGTCATATACCTGCCGCTCTTCCAAGTATGCGGCGCTCTTAGATATTTTTTTTTTATACGTAAATTACAGAGTACCATTTTTTTTTAAAAACTATTTCTTGGTTTAAAAGTTATAAACTACTTTTTCTAAAAATCGATAACTTAATGTGCGCCCCTCTTCCCCCAAAAGAATCCTGATGGCACAACTTGCGCCATAAAACACCCCTCTGGGCACCTCTGATAAAAAATACAAACATATACGCAAATATTGTTTATTTATCAATCAGCTGGCAAAGCAATCTCAGCTGAGATTACGATCAGTGAAACCGATCACACAAGGCTAGCAAAAGATCCTTGCCGATTAAAACAGCTGACGTGCGGAGGAAATTAAAGGTTTTTTCACCGCTTCGGGAGGCAATAAGTTCCCTTACCCGAACCCTGGACAAAGCTTAGCTTAGCATTCCCTTCACGATATTCCTCCACCTCGCTGCGGCTTCGCCTCCATTCCTGGAAGCTTATTGTGCTTCTCTTATCAATGTTGGAGTTCAGAAACTAGAATATAGTTGGCCAATTGTTGTATTGTGGCGGTGCGGTTAGGAACTACTATCGTTTCTCAGACGAAATTAATTAATTCCATGTTATTCCAAAAGTACTTTTGGAAGTATCCGAATTAAAGAAAGGCAAAATTTGAAAATGCCTATTCAATTGTGTACTTCTAAAATTATATTATATTATATATTTAGAAAAGTTATGAATTATAAATCTCTTAAAATTGTAGAAGATCAAATAAATCCTTGCTGGAATATAGCATTAAATTAACAACCACCTACATAATGTTATGGATGTTACTAATAATAATCATGTTACCTAATATCTTTAAGATAAAAGTGAAGATTCATCTAGTTAAAATATAATCTTGAGCTCAAACCAATTTAGTCAAAGCTTATCCTTCATTAAAAGTAATTGATTATCCATTGATTGATTGACCATCTATCTTAAAGAGATGAAATTTAGGATCATTTCTATAAACATGTTAATTAATTCAGTTCGTTATCCACAATTAATCAATTTAAAGGGAATTCATTTATACAGCCAATATTGATTTAGCATTTAGAACCGTTTTGCTATATTTTTTACTAAGTCAAGTAGAATTATTTTGTCATGGACTCCCAATACAAATCTCGATCTTTCCACTCTGGCTAGGATAGTTTTTTTAACATTCATAACATTTATGATATTAATGTTTCTTTCAGTCTTAATTAGAAGTCAAGAAATTAAATCAAATAAGAAATGTAAACTCAGATTGTCCTTATAATTCTACTCTCCTCCTTTTCAATAAATAACTTTCTTTGAAACTGGTGTAAAAGAACTCATTCTAATGGTAGTAATCGTTATGGTAGTTAAAAACATAAAAAGAACTGAGATTTCTTTTTTATTGTTACTTATGAATTTCTCTTTAAATTTCAGTTACGTTATTAACGAATTTTTCTGTCTGTCTCTATACTTAGATACCTCTAATGTTTTTAACTTTTCTCATTCCCTTTTAACCTTCTATTTCTTTTCCTGATCCCATTTTGTGCTACATTTTGATGACCATAATGTAGTCTTTTGATTTTCCTTGGGGTCACAGGATATGAGAAAGAAGAAGCTCATGACCTTGTAGTAGATATTCTCGGTCTTTCCCTTGATATCCTCTCAAAATGTAGTGTTTGATGAATGGGTACTTAGAAGAATGTCAAACATTACTATTTGTAACTTTTTTTTTTACTTCTAATATATATGTAAGTATTATTTCATAATAAAATTTGTAGGTTTACATATTAAATTAATGTTTTTATGTTTTTTTTTTCCAGGGACAGCAGCCACAACCTGAAGATGAAAATACTCCACAGAGAAGAGTTGACAAGATTTTTGATCAAATGGACAAAAATCATGATGACCGGCTGACCCTGGAAGAATTCCGAGAAGGGAGCAAAGCAGACCCGAGGATAGTTCAGGCGTTATCTATGGGTGGAGGGGTAGAACATCCCAAGCCGCCTCAGGAGCAAACAGCTCATCAGTAGTTTGATAACCCACAGAGACGCGCTTCTTTCTAAAGAAATTCTAACCATTAGAACCAACCACACTAAACCGAAACCAAGAAATAATGAAATATCTGTCCAACACCCAAATCCATTGAATAATAAAACATAAATAAATAGCTATATTTTAAAGAAATAATATTTTTTATTATGTTTATAAATTATTGGAAGTTCAAAAATGTTTATTCTTCACACTGCAATATAATATCTATGATTATATCAAAAAGTCTTGAAAATATTTTTTATTTGTTGGACAGATAAAGATTTTAAACCTGTAATGTAGATAATGTCAAGTTTGTAGTATTCTTAAAATAAAAAGGAAACTACAAATAAAAAATGAAAATTTGAGATTAATTCAGATAGATTTCTTATTGACTTAGCGCTTCAATCGTTCAAGAAAAAGGTGTAAGTCTTTTTCCATTAAAGACTGTTATTCAGATTTTCAAATAGATTAGAACACTCAAGAGGAGTAAGTAGAATTGAAATCGTATTGAAAGCCACCGATCTAAAGCTACGGAAAATTAACCCTTTGGGCTGTTAATGCCCCATCTTCAGGGATAGTTGTTTGTGGATGGGATAGAGAAGGATTCTGTTGAGATTTTTCTATACACTTATTTCTTAGCTATGACACCTTCATAAGCAAATGTTTGATTTTCTTCTTTAATTTTTCTTATAGACTTAGAATAACCTAGCCTCTATAAATTACTAATCAAATGTTTTTGCGGAATGAAGATTGTAAAGTACAAGGCATATGCTAGTTATTGATAATAAAATTTGTTATAAGGTCAGATTGTAAGCTCAGGTGGGATTTGATGAAAAGTCAAACTTTCACAACTATAATTGTGAATTGTATATTAAGAGTGAGAAAAGTTTTAAGTACATAAAAGACTTAATAAGATTATTTTTTAATTGTACTGTTTTAAAATATAATAAAATCTTAGAAAACATTGGAAATCATTGAAAAGGTCTGCATTTAATTTTAAACTTCAAAAGAAAAGTATTTTTTGTGTATAATAAATATCAATTTAGTCATGTATGTTCATTATATAAATAATGAATCACTATCACTCTTTTATGTAGCTAACTAGATGATGCAGATTTTTTTTGCTATTTTTAATAAGTCAACAGCAGTCGATTTCTCTAGAATCGAAATGGAAAATATTAAATTGGTAATTTTGAAAATAAAAAAGATTTCACTTACACAATTTACGTTTTCAGCAATTGTTTTATTGTGTAGAATATAGCTATAATGCAATGAAGCTGCAATGTATATATGGATACGTAAATACAGAAATAATGTTGATTTTCACGTAATTCAATTTATTTACCAAATCTTTACATTATGAATTGTAATTATCAGATCTTTTTTAATGAATTTCCTAAATTAATCAGTATTGTCAGTTACTAATAACTAAATTATTAACACAATAACCTTAATTTTCCATTCCAAGTTTTCAACAATCTAAGAAACTTTATAATCTGTGGCACAGACTCCTTTTTATTGAATTATTAACATCCCCCTGAAACTTTGTAAATAGTTTCATCTCATCGTAACCTACAACTATTTTATTTATGAAAACTCTTGCCATTGGTGTGTTTTCAATCTGGCGGGGTGCAAAATTTGTATATTTAATTATGTACTAAATACTCGTTAATACTCATTGGCTTTCTACTTGGTTGGTAAGATAATGTGATCATGAAATGGAGAAAAAAGGTGGCCTTCAAAAATATTGAGCTATTTGGCGTAACCTACACCCCAAATTTTAAAAATAACGAGGTTATATAGGACAAACAGCTGCATATTTTAGAAGGCCCCCTTTTTTATCGATTTTGTGATCAAATTATCTTACGATCCAAGTGGAAAGCAAATGGGTATTTACAAGTTTTTAGTACCTAATTAAATAGACAAAGTTTGCCACCCTCCAGATTTAAAACACCCCAATTCCAAGAGTTTTCGTAAATAAAATAGTTGTAGGCTACTATGAGACTTTTTACGAAGTTTCAGGCGAATGTTAATAATTCGATAAAAAGGGGTCTGTACAACGGACTATTAATGAAATGTCCTTTATTTAGCCAAACATAGTAAAAGCTTTGAAAACATATCTCAAGGTTCATAAACTTTTAACATAATTTGGAGAATATAAAATTTAATATCTATTTTTAATAAAGCATTTACAGTTTTTAAATTTAAATATTACAGTTTTTGCTCCAAGCATAGGATTTCAAATAAGATGAAAAAAATTTAGAAATTTATAATGATTAAAGAATGTCATTAAATGTGCATATGAATCATATCCTGATGCTTAAATACTACATCTATGTTTACATATTGATTTGTGTCATTAAAATATCATTTTCTTATTTAATTACTCTCCTATCATAAATTGTCGATGACTGACAAACTATAATTTCAATGATTATTTCTTTTGTAGCTGATTCTTTATAATTTTATAAAATAAATTAGGTGATTTAGTTCAATATTTTTTTTTCACTTTTATAACTTAAACCTTTTTTTATCACTTGGCTAAATTATCTTTGAATCATGTTTCTGGTTAACTAAATTTGATCATCTAATCAAACTTGGCAAGTTTTTAAAAACACATTTGCCAAAAAATAACATTAGATATCTGGCAGTACTGATTAAGGATAAGTTTATTAGCCATAGCTGAGGAAGTTGCAGAGAGGAAATTTAACAATCATAGCTTGTAAATTTTGTTTGTGTCTTACTAGGCATTATATAATTAAAGCACTTTTATAATGTTAAGAATATAATAAATTGTTCTTGTTATTGAAAAATAAAAAATTGTTGATTAGAAAAATTAGCTTTTTCATTATTTTATTATTATGAAAATTGTTGAATAATGTTACAATTTTGAATAATAATGTGAATTAATAGTGAAAAATATAACAGCAAACTTATGGCACATAATGTTAATATATTTATAAAAGAATATATATATTTGTAACGATATAAAGTAGGTAACAAAAATTAACCCTCTAGCACACGCAATAATTTAAGTTCTTATAGTTTCACCCTCAAAACTAGGGTGCTTTGAAAAGAAATAAGTTGTATAAATTTGTAGTTTACATTTCACAGTTCACATTTTTACTTCTGTTTTACATTATTTTACATCCATCATCATTAAATAAAATAAGTATTATTATCCATAACCCTCTTTGCTCTTACAAAATAGTCTTGTCATCCCAATGACTATTCATCAAAATGAATAGTTTGAAAAAGAATTCACCATATTATTGTACATACAAATATTATTTGGATGAATATATCAACAAAAATTAATGTTATACATATTAACCCTCAGGTTACATTAATTATTAACATATTTGAATTTCATTAATAGAGAAATTTACTCAAACTTGTTGCCAAAATCTAATTTAATTAAAATAGTGAATGGCTGATCTCTCAGGTCAGTTCCATTTGCTGAAGGGTTAATCCATTAGGTTTCTATACAACCGGAATATGTATTTTATTAATGTCACTAAAGTGAATTAAAGTTGATTTCAACAAAATTGTAATATTATTCACTTTGTGTCCAAATTAAAAATAAATTAACAATAATAAAAAAATTAGCATAGTTTTTGCAGCTTAGTTAAAAATTTATAACTTGAAGATTTTTATTTATAAGAAATGTTTTTGAATCGTTGCAGTTGTCTGCTTGTATAGCGTTGTTACTTTTTTATTTACAAAGTGCTTAATCTGGGCAGAGGGCTCGAATCAATAAGGGCCTTATTTTTAAAACAATTTCACTTGATCTAAGGAATAACAGTAATCAATATATTTTTTATATTGTACAAAAAAGAAATTTTCAGATTAAAAAAAAAAATTAACAAAGGATTTTTCTATTGTATCAGTCTAGATCTGGCCAGCCTTAAAGCCCAAGTCCAAAGCCTTGTTGTCATTAAGTCAAATTAAATTGCTATTGTAATGAGCATTATTGATAATACAAAAAAAAAATAATAAAAACAAAAAAAATTAAAAATAATAAACTAAGCAAATAAGTTGGCACTTTATAAATATATTTTTTCATATGATACTTTTATTATATGTAAATATTTGGCCTATTATTGATTTTTATAAATACTGATAAATAACAAAGAAAGACCTTTTTTAAACTCAGGTTGAAGTGAATACTATTTCATTATTTTTACAATTTATTATCACTTGCACATTTAATTGTTTCACAGTTTACAGTAAAACCTCAATTAACCGATGTGAGCAAAGTAGTGGTGGAATTTAAAATAAAAGACAGTAGTTGAACATTTTAATAAATGAAGTACAGTAAAAGACATTTCCTTACATTATGTCAAAATATTTTAAATATAAAAATGTTATTAGAGAAGAAAATTAGCTTTACATCAGTTAATGCAAATTTTTATGTGATAAATAACAAGTTTTGCCTATAAAAATTCAAATTTGAAAAAAAAAAGAAGTGAAAACAGATATTTCGATATATTGAAGTTAAAGTTTAATTAGTGAAAATCATAAATATTTAACCATTGGTTTGAAATAATATTTAGATTTGTCAGTTACTTAATTCATTTGTAAAGAGCCTGAAATCTAATATTTTTTTTTTCTCACCTTTTCTTTCCCCACTTCTTTTCTCTACTTCTGTACCACAATAATATCAGCACCATGATACAAATAAGCTTCATATGTTATACAAGAAAATATTGAAAAATTTTTTATAATATAAAGATTAACTGCCCTCTTTTCAAATGTCCAAACTGATTAATTAAGCACGCAGCCTCTTATATTCCAATAATCAAGGTTTTACTGCCATTTATTTTATCCATTTCTCATTCTTATCATTTTGCAAGCTACCAAAATGAATTGGTGCACACATTTCTACTGTTTTATTCTCTTCTAAACTATAAATATATATCCGTTATGTAATATAATTTCATATTATACAATTATATTGTAATATAAATGTTGGTTTGTAGTAAAAAAGAAAGCTCAA